GGCGCTGAGGCGGCCCGGCCCCGCCATGGACCTGCTGCCCCGGAGCCCCGGGGAGTTCGGCTCCGCCCGGTACTGGGACCGGTTCTTCCGGCAGCGCGGGCAGCGGCCCTTCGAGTGGTACGGGGCCTTCCCGGAGCTCTGCCCCGTCCTGCACAAGTACGTTCGGCCCCGCGACAAGGTGAGCCCCGTCTGGTGCCCAGCGACCTCCGCCCGGGCCCGGCCTGCCCCCGCGCCGGGCTCCTCCTGCACAGTCGTGTTCCGGCGTAAACTGCCATCGTGCGCTGAGGCTGACGATGCCAAGCCCCTGGCGTGCGGTAGCGAGAGAACAGGAGAGACCCCCGGGTTGCCCTGGGATGGGAAGCTCTGGGGGTTAAAACGCCCGGATCATCCCCAAAAGAGATGCAGCAGATGCATCACTTCTGTGCCCGTGTGACTCTTCTGTAGGGAAATGTTGTCTTAGGGCCCCGGAGGGTGGGTTTACAGGTGCTGCGGGTGTGGATTTCACAGAAGAGTCGTGACCGTGGCTGATAATTTGCTCGTAAAATGCTTTAGGGCATGTTTCCAGGGCGTTCTCACCATCATGCTGCACTTGTGCCACTCCCCAGGTTCTGGTGGTGGGCTGCGGGAACTCGGAGCTAAGCGAGCAGATGTACGACATGGGGATGTGCGAGGACATCGTGAACATCGACGTCAGTGACGCTGTGATCCGTCAGATGCAAGAGCGGAGTAGGAGCAAGAGGCCAAAGATGAGCTACCTGCTGATGGACATGCTTCAGATGGACTTCCCTGATGCCCACTTCCAGGTGGTCCTGGACAAAGGCACACTGGATGCCATCCTCACTGACGAAGAGGACGCCACTCTGGCCAAGGTGGACAAGATGTTTGCCGAGATCAGCCGGGTCCTACAAGTGGGTGGGCGCTACCTCTGCGTCTCCTTGGCTCAAGCCCATGTGCTGAAGAAAGCGGTGGAATACTTCTCCCAGGAAGGCTGGGTTGTGCGTGTCCATCAGGTGGCTGGCAGCAGGGACAAGCAGCAGTTTGTTCTACCAGTCTTCGTCTATGTCATGACAAAGTTCAGGAAGATTCCCGGCTCGGCACCGCAGATCCTGGAGATCTGCCCCGAGGAGCAGGACAAGCCAATGCGGGTGGAGAGCGTGGAGTGGCTGGTGGCAGCAGTGAAGGACAGGCAGCATTATGCCCTGCTCTGCAGCCAGCTGAGCAAACCCCCCTGCGGGGAGCAGGTTTCCCTGGATCTGTGTGACAAAGAGAGTGGGAGCCCTCGCTACACACTGCATGTGGTTGACAGCCCCTCGGTGAAACCTTCCCGGGACAATCACTTCGCCATCTTCATCAGTGAGTACAGCCTCTCATGGCTGCAATGAGATGATGCTCTGGCTAGGAGCTGCAAAACGGCCAGCAGTCCTGGCCCCGCTGAAATCAGGGCTGGAGAGGGAAATAACCTGTTTGCGTGGGGTTCGGTTGATGTTTTAGTCCTGGCTTTGTGGTGGGACATGTGTTTGCCTGGTGGCGCAAGCAGAGAGCTGGCACAGAGCTTGCTGGCTGAGCAGATGCCCGTCTGGCAGCAGAAGGACACTGCCTGCCCTGCCTTCAAGGTGGTGATTCCTGCTTTGATGCTGGTGACAGCCACCGTAGCATGTCGCTGCATAAAGCCAGAGTGCAGCGGACGCAGCCAGGAAGGAGTCACTGGTCTGTGCAGGCGTCCTGACTTGCCAGGGCCAGGCTGCTCGGGGCTGTGCTTTACTTTTGCACTTGCACCTTGCGGAGATGCATCAGGCTCTGCCAGCAGCACTGTTCCCTCCCTGGGTGCCTGAAAAGCTGGGGCTTAGCACAGTGTGGAGACAGGTCGTGAGGCTGTTGGATGCCCCCTTTCTTATGAGATGTGGCTTTTCCACCTTCCTGCATGAGCCTGCCCAAAACAGGGAAGGCCCTGGCTCTCTTGATGGTTGGAGGGCCTGGCTCTAGGCAGTGGTACCTCCTTGTGATGTCTTGTTGTTCCCTGTGGCTCACCTCCTGGAGGCTGGAGTGGTTGCTCGGGGACTGGGACTGGCCCAGGCTGATGGCAGCCCCTTCTGCAGTCCCGCAGGGCAGAGAAACCGAGTGGCTCTTTGGGACGGAGGAAGGGCGGAGGCAGCTGGCCACGAGCGCAGGCTTCAGGCGCCTGGTCACTGTGGCCCTGCACAGGGAGCAGCACTACGAGGGCATGGCTGGCATCCAGGCGGAGCTGTCGGGGAAGGTGATGGAGCTGGCCCCACCGGGCCTCCCTGCCCGGCAGCAGGTGAGCCCCGCCGCCCAGCCCTCTCTCTCGGCTTCCCCGAAACCGGGGTCAGGCTGGCTTTCTGCCAGCAGCGAGTCCCTCTTCTCCAAGGGAGACCAAGCTGCAATGCATGAGCTGGTTGCCTTGGCAGGGAGGAGGCTGGCCTCAGGTGTAGCTCCTTTGGTTTTTCCCTCCACCTGGCTGCCTTTGCTTTGGAGGCAGGATTTGAAGTGCCTGCTTGGCAGGATTCAGTGTGAAGTCCTTGCTCTCCAAAACCCAGCATCCCAAGAAAACCAGACATCCCGAAACCCTGAGAGCATCTGGCCTCTTCTTAATCCTGGCTTTAACTTCTCCTGTCCCTTCTGTCTCCTTTCTGTCCCAACTCCCCAAATCTGAGCTCTTGCAAGAAGTCTTGGGATGTTTGCTCCTTGTACTCCAACACGTGTACAGGAGGGGGAACCTGGTGTCCCATGCACTGGTCCCCAGCTGCCCTGTGTCTGCCTACAGCACATCCTGCTGCTCCCACGACATATCTGCTTCGTCCTAGCTCTTTAGCCCTGGTCAGGACAGTAGGAATACCAGGATCTGTTCCTTGCACTGGTCTCTGTCCTCCCTGCAGGTGCCCTTCGTGTCCGTGGGAGGGGACATCGGGGTGCGGACAGTGCGGCACCGTGACACCAGCACCCTGAGCGGGGAGTATGTCATCGAGGATGTGAAGGGGGATGGCACCTGCTACTTCCGACGCCTCATCTTCCTCCGCAACAGGAATGTGGTGCAGTCGGAGGCTCGGCTCCTGGCCCCCATGCCTCTCCCAGGTATGTGGGGCAGGTGGGTGTCATGATTTAATCACAGCTGGCAACTAAGCACTGCACAGCTGCTCGCTCACTCCTCCCGCTTTGGGATGCCGGAGAGACTCGGAAGAGTAAAAGTGAGAAAACTCGTGGGCTGAGATAAAGACAGTTTAATAGGTAAAGCGAAAGTCACGCAGGCAACCAAAACAAAACAAGGTATTCATTCACCACTTCCTATCGGCAGGCAGGTGTTCAGCCATCTCCAGGAAAGCAGGGCTCCATCACGCATAACAGTTATTTGGGAACACAAACACCATCACTCCGAACATCCCCCTAGTTTATGTGCCGAGCGTGACGTCATATGGTATAGAATATCCCTTGGGTCAGCTGGGGTCAGCTGTCCCAGCTGTGTCCCCTCCCAGCTTCTTGTGCACCCCCAGCCTACTTGCTGGTGGGGTGGGGTGAGAAACAGAAAAGGCCTTGACTCTGTGTAAGCACTGCTCAGCAGTAACGAAAACACCAGTGTGTTATCAACATTATTCTGGTCCTAAATCTAAAAGACAGCACTATACCAGCTACTGTGAAGAAAATTAACTCTATCCTGGCCAAAACCAGGACAGTGGGGCAGCCAGGAAGGGGCGGGGGCCAAGGGTGACTTTTTGGGGTGGCACAGAGATTGATATGAGAGGAAGATAAAATTCCCACTGGGACCTGCTTGCCTTCTCTGGGGGTGGCTCTGTGGGTGGTTTTGTGCTCTGCTGCCTGCCCTGTGGGTGGGACGGGCTGGGGGTGGCTAGTCCCCAGAAAGCATCCGTGTCTGCTTCCTTGCCTTACCAGCTAATGCCTCCTCATTCAGGCCAGAAGAAACGGAGGAAGGACAAGAAGAAACCCAGCCCCACTGAGCCACCCGCAGCCATCGACAAGAGCTACCTGTGCTGTGAGCACCACAAGGCCATGGTTGCAGGGCTCTGCCTGCTGGGAGGCCCCAATCCCATCCCAGGTGACAAGGCTGGTGGTGGGAGGCTGTGCCCAAGGCAGGCGTGGGGCAGGCGTATGGGTGTCCCCATGCCCCAGCTCCCTGGGGAAGGGCTTTCCTGGCTGGGCTACCCCATGTGCCCTTCCCAAAGCGGTTTGGGCGGGGGGGGGTTTGGATGGGTGGTGTGGGCACAGCTGTCCTGGTGGCTCACCCAGGTGCTCTCTGTTGGCAGGAACCCTGCTGGCGGTGCTGGTAGTGGGGCTTGGTGGGGGCAGCCTGCCCCTCTTCATCCACGACTACTTCTCACAGGCCCACGTGGCCGTGGTGGAGATTGACCCCTCCATGCTGGAGGTGGCCACATGCTGGTTTGGCTTCTCCCAGGACGACCGGATGCAGGTGCATGTCTCCGATGGCCTGGACTACGTGGCCAAGCTGGCAGCTGAAGGTATCACCTCGCAGAACATACCAGGCACCCTGTCGATACCAGTGGGTGATGTGCTGGGGACTAGAGCCCTGGACTTCTTTCACCCTCTGCTTCCCGTCCCTGCCCATCTCCTGCCATGTGTTGCAACGACTGAATTAACTACTCAAACTATCTGTACAAGATTTTATTTCACTAAAGGATCAAACTTATGTATGTTTCAACAAAGATCTAGAAAGAACTAACAGCATACAGCCAATACTACTAGCACAGGAGTGCATATCTGGCTCAGCTCGGATGTTTGCCAGTCCTCAGAACAGTTAAAGATAAAAACATTCCGTACA